AACGCCTATTGATATGCAGATGCACTAAAGCCATACTTTTCTCCACCCATGAAGATGCATTAAAGCCAGAGGAGATATTCTGGAAATATTACAATTTTACCCACAACTGGGATGAGATCTGACTTCCCTTCTATAGAAATCATTATTTTTCTTTATATATGGGTTGGAAAGGTTTTATGATTGGAAGTACTGTACTTACCTTATAAGGTCAGTGTGATATCTTCCTGATTAGCTCTGGAAAGAGACAAAGCCCACATAATAACATGGATTATTGTTAAAAAAATAGATGGTAATTATGAAAGATGCTGGAGAAGGGAAGCATGGTGGTGTTATCTACTCTGTTACTTCTGCTTTCCCAGTTGGCTTTCTTCTTCCTGGGCCTTCTTTAGAATTTATTCAGTTGATTTTGTTTAGGGACCATGAGGTATAGATCAAGAGGTTTCATCTTACTCCTGTTTAACAGGCCACATGGGGGCTTTGGGTTTCTTTCCCTGGAATTCTCTCAGGCTCAGACCATAGGCTAAGAACTGCCGTAACTCAGAGAGGACAAGCTAGTTTAAAAACAATCCTCAGAATTGCCTTGAGAAAGAAAGAGTCCAGCAGATATAAAGATTTTCAAAATATTCTTTTATTTCTAAACTGTATAAATAATGGATTTCCTGCTTGTAGTGCTTTTAACCCCTGTTACTGAAATCTCAGAGGTTTAATTTATAATTATTAATCTTTCCTTCATTATTCAAGATATAATCTTTTTTCCCCCTTAGCATTATTGATAATTATGAAAAAGATCAAATGTATAAAATGGTTTAGAGAAAAAGATAACAGTCATAAAAACCACTGTCTGGATTTAGTAAATATTAACATGGAATAAATTTTCCATGTTTGCTTCAGAATTTTTTCTTGAAAATATCAAATGTTGCAGATACAGTTGAAATTCCTTTGGTCTTCTCACTCCAATGTCTCTGCTTTCGCCTCTACCACACAAGAAGCAATTCTGTTCTGAACTTGGTGTGGTGCCTCGCTGTCTGTGCTTGTATAGTTTTATTCCATTTATGTGTTTCCACAACAGTATATGCAACTGTTTTGTGTAAGTTCAAGTGTATACCAATGACATCGTGGTGTACTTCAGCTGCCACTTGCTTTTTTTTCCTTCTTAGTATTATAGTTTGGGATTTATACATGTAAACAGAATTCATGTACTTCAAGTACTGTAGAGCATTTCATTGTATAAATGTATCACAATTTATCCATTCCCCCATTGATGGGCATTTAGATTGCTTACAGATTTTTGCTGTTATAAACAATGCTGTGATGAACATTTTTGAACATGGCTTCTGGTGTATGTGTTGGAAGATTTTCCCCTGGGAAATACTTAGGAGTGGAATCCTGGGGGGTACAATATGTGCATCTTTAACTCTACTGGAGGTTGCCAGGTACCATCTAACTTGTGCTGCCTCCAGAAACATATGGAGCTTCTCACCAACATGTACCATCAGACTTCTAATCTCTTGTTAATCTGATGGGTATAAAGAGAATTGATCTTTTTATTGCTTCAAAACAAATTTAGTCTGTGGGAGTCAAAACATCACCCTTTTAAATTTCAGAAATACGATGCCAAAATTAATTCATTCAATAAATATTTATGGAGTTCTCATTAAGATCCAGGTACCATTCTAGAAAGTAGGGCTATAGGTCTAACAGATAGGACACACATCTCAGCCCTCACAGAGTATACCTTCTAGGGGCAGGAGAGAGATAATAAATACAATAAATCAATACAATGTGAATCACATTGGTGATAAGTGTTAAGAAGGAAAAGTAAAATAGAGAAGAAGGGCTACTAATGTGTGTGGAGAGGTGGGGTTGATAGGGTGGTCAGGGAAGGCCCCTTAAGAAAAATGACATTTGGTAAGAGCCTAAAGGCAGTAAGGAAATAAGTCATACATGTGGACAACTGAGGATAGAACATTCTAGATGGAAGGGGTAGAAGTCTGATAGGGGAGCATGTCTGTCATGTTCAGGGGACAACAAAGAGGCTCATGTAGCTTTGGGGGAGGGTGGGGTGGAGATAGGAAATGGGAGACAGGGTCAGAGAAGTGTATGGTAGTGTATCTCGTAGAACCTCTAAAGGTCATTTTAAGGACTTTGACTTATCTGAGCTAGACGGGAAGCCACTGCATGGTTTTGCTTTAGCGGAGCGG